GAACCACTGAAATTAGTACATATGTTTTCTGAAAAATGATTATTTCAGTTTTTAGATTTGCAAACTATTAAATATCCTATTCTTGTATACAGTGATTACCTTCATTTCTTCATTGTGCCAGCATAAGTCACTTTTACAGTAAAATTTCATATAAATATTTCACAAAGAAAATGAATACAAAGGAATTTAGAATCTCCCTAAAGTGATCTCATATTCTTATAAGAATATAGGAGAGCCAGTTATGCAGTTTTTTCAACCAATCAATGGAAGATATTTGTGGGAACTGGAAAATTCAGTACTTCATACACAGAAATCTTTGCGAGAACACTACACCATTTTGAATTCTCGAAAGTTCCCTCTCTCCATATATATACATAATATGTGTATATATATATATACACACATGTACATATGGGTATGTATATATATATATACACATGTACATATGGGTATATATAAGTGATTTTGCAAGACTCTAATAAATATCATTTTAAAAAGCTCCCAAAAATACTGCCACAGAGCATTTATCTGCAAAACATCAGTATTGACTATTGCCTTTAGTTGTCAGAAAATCACAGCAAAGCTGTTACTCTAGTTTTTATAGTCTGGCAAATGAAACAGCATGCATGCCATAGGTATGCTTGTGACCTGGAGAGCAGATAGATAGATAGATAGATAGATAGATAAATAAATGGTATTGAGTAATATACCAAATGCATCCTCATTAGCCAGAGGTTCTTCAACGTTGTTGAATGAATCACTTCTTCCAGTGGCCCTGATATAACTGTACTGTCAAACCCCAACTAAAACTCACTTCACGGACAGGATGGAAATACACTCAGTGTTTGATTGTCTCATTGATAAGATCAATGGAGGAAGGAAGAACACTCATAGAACTCACTCTGAAGACCACGAATGGTATGAACATGAAGCTTTATAGGACCGCTCACTTTACAGATCCGCCCATTCAACTTGACAGCAGAGGTTTCGAGAACCCTAGCATGTTTCCTCCTGCAGGAAACTGGCTAAGTAAGGCATCCCTCCTATTTTAAAGTTCCCTTTTCCAAGGAGCTACTAGGTAGGCAAAGTGAAAAAACTCCCAGAATGCTTGGACTGCAATCAGGATCCTAAAGGTTGAGTTCTACTCCTGTGTTTCAATTCTTTTTCAAAATTAGGTAATACTCTTCTTCCAGCAGACCTGCTGGAAGTTCTTTCTAAAAGAAAAAGATATGAGATTCAGAAACGAAATACAAAAACCAATCAAAAAGTCATTCTCCTGCCACTCTTGTCTGCTCAAAAGAGTGCTGAGCCACAGTTTGTTCCAACCCACTCTGCCTTTCAGCCCTTGGCCCATGGGCGATTAATTCAAATGTTAAGGCAACCAGGACCCTTGGGCCACAGAGGAATTTGCCCCCAACCAATAGCCAAGCTGTATTGGCATAACCAGGGCACTACTTAAATGGGAGGAGGCCCTCTGACCTCTGTTTAATGGCCGCCTTCAGGGTGTTAAGGTGGTCCCTGAACCCAGCCATAATGCTTATGTCCTTTGAAGAAAGTTCAAAGGGAGGACTCATCACTATTTCTTTAATTTTACTTCAAATATGCATTACTTCTAGACCAAGATTTCTCTTAAGAATTTTGCAAGCATAACACCTTACCAATATTTATTTTATCATTTGGGGAGCACTACATAAGTCTTATAACATGCTCAATGGTCATAGTTTATTAATTTCATCTCTTCCCCACCCCACCCCCAAAAAAAGGGGAAAAAAATAAATATGGAAAACCAGGAAGTCTTTGGGTTAGTAAAGGGGAATGTAGCCAAGGGTCTTGCTGATACTTACCATTTTGCCGAGGTTGAGACTAAGGCCCAGGGATGGTGTGATTTATGACCACCCACTAGTTAGTGACAGAACAGAGACGAGAATCTCCACTACACAGATGCTGTGCCAGCAGTGCTGACAAATTCTAAGTCTAGGGCAGACTTGAAACGTCCCTTCTCCCAACACCACCACAATGTCCATTCTCACTCCCTCAGAAGAAACATTTGTGTCAGTTAAAGTATCACTAGGCCTAAAGAAGAGCCAGCTGCACCAGTCTTGGGACCAGCTCAGGAGACCATGCCCCCCACCCCCAGTCTAGCCTGCTTGCTTTTTCTCTCTGCTCAGGATCAGAACAGAAAGTACAGACTGCAGGAGATCCAAGTCCCTGGACTGCACAGTTCCTTTCTCTGGGAAGGAGCTGGTGTATGTTTTTTGTTTTTGTTTTTGTTTTTATTTTTGACTAGCTTTTCAATTGTTTTCTATAATTACAACAGCTACCAGATATCATGTGCATGCTGAGTGCCAGCCCTGAGCCAGCATTCCACACACATCCTCTCATGGAGTACTCAGTGACAACCCATGACGTGGGAATATTATTGCCTCCATTTCACAAATGAAGACTCTGAGGCTCAGGAGGGACTAAGTAACTTCTCCCAGGCCACACATAGAGGAGCTCTGAATTCAGGCCTAAGTAGGGGCAAAGACCATGTCATGGTCTTCACAATCACCCTGAGTGGAGTTCTTCTGGGCTGGGCCCTAGTCCACTCAATCCAGAGTTTCCCCAGTGGGCAGACTTCTTTTTGACGGCGGCCTTGAAGGGTTCCAGGTCAGAGGCAGGTCAACTGCAGCCCTAAGCACTCCCTTCCCAGCCATTTATGAAAGTTTGAGGCTATTGTGATCATATTTACTTTTTATGACTGGGATTTGGGACTCAACTTTGAAAAGATTTACCCATCCTTCAAAATGCAATACTCAAAACCCAACCCCAAGGACCACGTGGTTTGTATGTAGAGTCCTTCATGTTAATTTCATCACAGCATCATCTCATTGGGTCCAGAGTGGACCCAACAGTTCCTTGATGAGTGGATCCCCGAGACTTCCAAATAGCTATCAGACCTGGCAAAGATCCTCCAAACAGGACCCTCTAGAGGAATAACAAGTCTGCCTGTCCTGCTCACCCAAGCTCGACTTCCAGGCATGGACTGCCCTTATTCCCCTTTAAAAAGCCCATATTCACTCAAACCAAAGGCTTAAACTAAAGCAAAATGCCATCATAAACAACCAAAGGCACACGATGAGCTTTATTCACTGCCCCCAGCATGATATAAAGATGAGAACTACAACAGATTGTTTTGAAAAATTTACTGTAGAGCCCTAATGTCTTTTAGTAGGATTAAGTGTGGCATCCAACGTGCTATAAATCTCCATCACTACATCACTATGTAGTGATGTAATAATCACTACATCAGTGTGGCCTTGTTGGAATGCCCGTGGTGGTAAACACTGGCCGAGAGCCGTGATTTCTTAGACTCTCTTTGACGGCACGCATTCGGTCCCCAGCCCCCACCACAGGTGCGCGTCTGGTCTAGACAGGTGAGCTGATGGGACTGCTGTGCAGGGATGTGCACGAGTGAGGGCTGGCCTGGGGCCTCGAGTTGCCTTCCCCACTTTCTCCAAGTCCAAAATGACCATTTGTAAATTCTGAAATTTCAGGCTTTATAGGAATTTGTAAACATCCTAACACGTAAAGGGAATCTTTCATCTGAGCAGTGTTTTAAGTGGTCTCACACTGACCTTTTATTTTTCATTCTCCTGAATACTTAGGAGATCCCAACACTGTGTGTACACAGGCCATCGCGGGTTGGGGTATAAATGTAAAGGTCAGAAGCCGTTCATATGGTACTTATGACAACAAGAGTTTGAAGGAAGATATACTAATAAGAGAGCAGGTGTGTGCAGATGAAGCAAATGATCCATCTCAAAGTATGTTTGAAATGTCAACGTTTGGACTTAGGTCAGCAGAGGGTTTTTGGCATGTGCACAAGAGAAACAGTGGGCTCCAGCGACTTCCCACCTAAGGTCAACTTTGGACAAAGCAAGATGATGCTTACCTTTACCTGAATTATTGAGATAATTTTCACAATACTGGGTTTCCTTAGTTTTGTGGAATGTGGAACAAGCAATATATGTCACTGCCAGACCAGAATGCCGTGTCTACTGGCACCTGGTGTGCCCCAAGGCCACAGTCAGTTTCGCATCAAAACTTAAAGGTTAATTCTGTTAAAAAATCACCCAGGTGAGGTTTTTAGGTGCAAATGTATGCACAGACACGCCACATATCTTCATACTTCATGGATTACTAATTCTGTGGTTCATGGGGACCCTAAAAAATTAGGGCACTCAAAGTGCTATGAATATTCTTATTGAGGACGTAGGGTCCCACATAGTAAGAGGAGCTCAGGCTTCCTGGAATCACAGTCACTTCTGAAACTCTGACCACACCTGGCAGACCTCAACCCTGCCTTTGACAGCTGCCACTCAAGGGTGCCAGCTCTAACGACACACAGGGAGCCCTCTGCTAGAGGCAACAGGCTTTTAAGCTGTGGCTTGCCACAAGCAGAGCCTGCACTGGAGAGGAATAAAGGCTACACGAGATTGCAAGCTCCCTGAATGCAGGACTGTGTCTCATCATCTTTGATGGATGAGGCAGCAATGAGCATCTCCACACTCGTTTCTCCCAGAGGGGCCATGCCTGTAAACTGTGTTCGCAACTACTTCCTGATTGTTGAATGAATGGATGCTTTCACCCTGCCGCTGGCAACAGAGCCCCAATTTGTGTTTATTCTACCGTAGACACTGTACATTTCAGAGGTATACAACCAGCACCCACAAAATGCCCAACACCATCCCCACTGGGCAAATCCAGGTGCACCCTCCCTCATGTTGGCCGCAGCTGCTGAGTCCTGGCACACGGGCATCCTAGAGGGCATTCCACGGGCTCCCAGCCTTCTGGGGGTTCAGAAATACTGCAGATCAGCTAAATTACTTTAACAGTCTTTTTTATAAGTGATCTCAAGACAGAATTGGTTCCTGTGAAATCATCTCAATCCATGCTTGTGTTTTTTTTTTTTTTTTTAAAGGAAGCTAAAGGTTGAAACTGTTTTTGTTTTTTCCTAGGAAAACCTCTTTTTTGTGATGGAATATCTCAACGGAGGAGACTTAATGTACCACATCCAAAGCTGCCACAAGTTTGACCTTTCCAGAGCAACGTAAGAGCCCTTTGAAGGGTTTGGGGGTTTCCATCGCTCTCAGCAGTTACTGTGTCCCCACAGTGGCCACAGAATATGCTTTCCCTGAACTGTTTGTGTTTCTGCACCCAGCATGCTTAACTCTCAGGGCGAGGGAACCCTGCGAATGATCACACAGGGCAACGGTGTTCCCAGTTTGTGACTCTTACGTTCTTGTCAGTTTTGTTTAATTTCCCTGTGTTTTGAAATCAACTTTTTAGTTTCTCAAAGAGATGCTCCCATTCCTCAGGAGCATGTGAGCATGTGAGAAAATATTTGCCCTTTCAAAAGGGGGCCGTTAAATGGAGCACAGATCTTAAAGGTGGTTGCAGAATGACGCTTCAGCCATGGTCTTTAGTGGGACAGTCAATGTGAAGCTATAAAGCATGTGGCTCCAGGGCAAGAGAATTAGGAAACCGTGAGGGAGGCTTAGTCTGAGAATAAATCTTCACCTTCTTGGGCAACTCTAAACACAAGCGGAATCGAACAGGCTGTGCTTGCCCGGTGGGACTGCAGCTGAGGACGCCCAGCCACTGTTCCCCCACCCCCACCCCTCGTGGTCCCTCTTTCAAAAGTGGTAAAACCGCTGTGACATTCAACAGCAACCAAAAAAAAAAAAACGGTGCCACCAGGCCCATTTAAAAATGCGGGGCATGCACTGGCTTTATTTCTTCAGTAATCTTTCGCTTGCCCCCAATGAATGCTTTGAGTGGTGGAGTCTGAGCTGGGCTGAAAAGATGGCTTGCTCCCCAGCTCCTGCAGAAACCCTGCTGAAGGGGCTCTTTTGTGAGATCCAGTGGGACACACGCTGCTAATCTCGTTGCCTTCAGGAGCCATCAGCAAACTGCCCAGAGACAGTTGTATGGTGTAGCCACAGCTGAGAAACCACCTGGCATTTTTCTGCTGGAAAGGTTTCACTCGGCCCAACCCCCTTTCCAGCTCTGTAAGAGGAGCCGGCCATCAGGCTCAGGCTATCCAGTGTATCCTCAGGGCCTCCCAGGAGATCCAGCAAACCTCGCTCCCAAGTTCTCCCTCATCCTCAGCTTCAGTCCCCCCGGTGCTAGTGCAAATTCATTGCCCTCCAGTCTGCCATTGAGAATGGAGGGCCCAGTATCCCTCCCATCTTCTCGCACCCTTCCCCCGCCCCCTTTCGGGCTGCGTTTCTTGCACACAAACAAGTCAATTCTATTTGGAATGACCCTGCACACTGGTCTAAAGACTCCAAGCAGAGTTTAAAAATAAAAGGGAAAACTATTTTCCTGTTTTACTATACTATTACACTTAATGTTTGTGGATGTTTTATTAGGAAAAAAGTGACAGTTTGAGCATTGTAGATTAAAATATAAAAATGAGCACTGGCTGCAGGTAGGGCTTACTTAGGATACCAGCTCTGCTTCAGTCTCATCTTCCTTTTGTTAGGATGAAAAAAGATTGTGTGTGTATACAGATAAATTGTGTACATACAAAGTTGAGTGTGTACACTTAGCATTGGACTGTGTGGAGCACTCACTAGATAAAAATGGGGGTTTTATTTTGCTCTGTTAATGCCTTCACGGTGAACCCTGATTTTCTTCCCTCAGGTTTTATGCTGCTGAAATCATTCTTGGTCTGCAGTTCCTTCATTCCAAAGGCATTGTCTACAGGTACAGTTTACCCTTTGGAGACGAATACTGAGGCATCTATCTGTGTTTCCTGGTCTGGTTAACATAATCATTGTACCTTAGTGCCATGAAAAGTCCAGAGTGTTTTTGTTTCTCACCCAGGCTTCCTGCCCATAGTGATAACACAGATGATGCTTTAACCACAACCAAGTAATAAATTCCAATCTCAAAAGCAGTAAGGTTCTAATCCTATCTAGTTCTTTATTCCGGTCCTTTCTCCTATTCATCCTCTCACCTCCATTTTTCTCATTCCCTTCTAATACTGTGCTTTCTCTTTTATATGTTATTGCTTCCTCAATTATGTCTCTCACAGCTGTTGTCTTTGCCTGCATTTCCTTTGGGCTGCCTAGAAATGTTGATGGAATGTTCTCCTTTGGGTGGGGGGAGCTCTCCCTTGAGCACTCAGACACACTGATGGAAACCTGGGAGCCTGCACCTTGTGGACATGCACAGAACACCACGTGCGACCTCTTTTGTGAATGGATGTCTGTCCAAAATCTCTCCATTGTACGCCGTCGTTTCACATCCTTCTTTGATGAAAGCTATTGTACTTCAATCTCCTGACTTCTTTTCTCAAAACATAGTTGACATTTATTTAACACATGAATATTCAAAAGCTTAGTTGTCTGGTTCCTGACTCACTGCAGAATGAGGGGGAAAAAGTAAACATAAAAAAAGAGAGGAGCTAGACAGGACGCCGGCCCACCTGCTGGAGGCCTGCACAGCGACACAGAGAGGAGGGACAGTTGAGAGCCAGACAGAAAGGGAAGACAACTGAGGGGATGCAGGAGAGTGGGATCGTGTGCTCTTCTGGAGCAGACGCTCACAGCCCTGACCTGGAGTCATCAGCAAGGGTTACGTGGTGCCCTGCACCAGCTGCTGAGGACAGGAACTCTGCATCATCCAGCCCAGAAACTTTCAGTCAGAATGGTTGGGACCGGGCTGTGGTGCGCACAAGCGGCTACCAGTTCACTTAGGGACAGCTCTCTGATTCCGCAGGGTACGGCCAGGCGAGGGCTGCCCTATGTAGAGTGATGAGACCACCCGTCAGATGGCAATTCTATCTTAGCAAAATTGGAATTATTAAAGTGAGATTGTGCTTTGCTTTTGTTTTTCAGGGACCTGAAGCTAGATAATATCCTGTTAGACAAAGATGGACATATCAAGATAGCGGACTTTGGAATGTGCAAGGAGAACATGTTAGGAGACGCCAAGACAAACACTTTCTGCGGGACCCCTGACTACATCGCCCCCGAGGTAGGATGTGCACCGCCCCTTTCCAGCCCAGCACACCCCGGGCCAAGCATCGCTGCTCCTTCTCCCTGAAAATCAGAAGATTTTAAGTATTTTGGTTCAGGATTTAAATTTGTTTTTCTGAGTATTTCATAAGTGGGGCCGCACATAACAGCTGCTGTTATTGTTTCATGGGGGATGGTACTCATGCTGGTTAGGTTTTTTCTCCAAGTCATGAATGTCTTTTCTATCGTGGCCTCCCCCACCCCCCGCCTTAAAATATCCTCACTCTGCTCAGACCCACCAGGGAAAACAATGGGGAAGAACCAAGTGGACACTGAATGGGATCATAAGTGGCCGCCTAAGTCTGGCAGGTTCATTTTGGGACCAGGAAAACCTACCCTGTGGTCTCTAAGCTGCCACTGTGTGAGTGTGGAGAGACTGCTGAGTGCGCTGACGTAGTCCCTCTTCTGCGAACTGAGGACAGTGCTTGTATCACATGTTACTGCGAGCATAAGATGAGAAAACCTAGGAAAGTTTTAAAAAAACGGGGAGGAGAGGCATGGTTCTCATATTCAGAGCCCCCAGGAGAACCACATTTGCTCTGAAGACATCCATCCCTCCCACCCTCCCCTCCCCTCCCCTCTCCGTTTTAGGGAGTCCCGGCAGCGGCCACCTGGGCAGACCGGACCCCCCAGCCATGCAGCCTTTCCTGTGGCATAACAATTGTCATCCTGGCTTTTTTATCTTTGAATCTTCCTGCACCACTGGGTGATTGCTCTGAAGTCTGGGGCTGTTTCTGATTCCCTTTTTAATAACTTTTTATTTTGAAACAATTATAGATTCATAAGAAGTTGCAGAAGGAGTGCAGAAATCTCACCCACATATACCCTTCACCTAGTTTGTTCCAATGGTTACATCTGTGGTACAATCAAAACCGGGAAACTGATACTGGTACAAGATGTATTCTATACCATTTTGTCACATATATAGATTAGTGTGATCTTTTTACTTTTCTACCCAAGGACCAAGTGCAGGGCTTGGCACACGGAGGCCCAGTTCCTAGCAGGCCACAGACTCGTACCGGTCCATGGCCCCGGGGTTAGGGACCCCTGCGCAAAATGAATCCCTTTGCCTCAGTCTCCCAAACTTCTCCAATCCCTTCACATCCTTATTGCTAATACCTGACTCCAGGCATAGATATCTCTTGTCTGGACCCCAGTGATACCCTTTAACCTGGCTTTCCTCCCCGTCGCCGTCCAACTGCCAGTGCATCTTTATATATTTTCAACAGTTCTGTGTGTATGTGATTCTGACCTAATTACAGCCTTGATGTGGTGAAGTGGTTTCTTCTGTCTGTCCTTGGTCATAAGGCTTCTCGCCAGCTAGTGTTCATTTGGTTATTCAGGGTCATTTTTCTATGATTTCGTTGTAATTCCAGTTTGGTCCTAGGAGGAGGTTAGTGTAGCGTCCGCCTACTCTGCCACCATCTTGGATCCCCTTATGTTTTCAAACTTTTTGACCTGCTCCTTTATCTGTTAAAAAAGCATCCCCACTCTATGTGTACTTATTTTACATGAACCTCATACATTTTTGCCAATATAGTATGTGTGTTATAAAATATGCATAAAGAGGAATATAATCAGGTTGAACTGAAGATAAAATAGTTTTAAATAACTAAATTGTGTTATATTTATTAATAGTATATATTTATGGTTCATTAAAATAATGAGATTAAACAGCCAAAGACCAGGCTTCAGAACATAAATTTCAACACACTAACTACGGGACCTTAAATAAGACATGTAACCTCCCTAAGTCCAACCACTTCCTTTCTTGGGGATAACAGGACCTACCTCAGAGGTTCTTACAAATAAAACACACACTGCCTGGAAAACCCTATCAGCAAGCATTTACAGACATTCTGTTTTAACAGTATGTCATTGAGTAGAAATCTACATTTTTTTCTTCCTTCTAACTTAAGACTAAAATTCTTTATTAGCATCACCTAGGCTTAGATGACTTAATTACCACCACAGCTGTCTCCTGTCCTCCAAAATCCTTTTCATTTTCCTGCCAAATGAAGTTGTTTACATATAAAGAGGTGGTGCTCACGCAGTTTCTGGTTGCTTTGGGCTCTCCCTTGTGGCATATCCTGGGAATTGCGTGTGCACCGGGCCTCACTCCAGGCAAGTATCTGAAATGATTGTGTACGTGTGCACATCTTTATTTTCTTTATCATTCTCCTTGGGTCTACTTTTACATTATTCCTTAAGGCAAAGTTGTTGTTTTTTTTAATAAACTTTAAGGTAAACTTTAGCATTCAACTATTGAGTTTGGCTAGTGGATAGTGTTTTTATCCCGGAGGTTTGACTGATAAATTCTGTTTGCAGCTTGATCTTTATTGTCACAAATGGGTACCCATTAGTCAAGACAGATATTTATCATATAACATATAGCCATTTCCATACAGCAAAGCACTTTATCTTTCTTACTTTTCACTGGGTCCTTACAACCCAGTGTATAAAATATTATGTAAACTACACAATAAGGGACTAAGGCAGAAGTAGAACGTGCTGTGGAGTTTGCACGGCCTTCATAACTGTTTCGTTGTTGTTGTTGTTTGCTTGGCAAGTCTTATGTTAGAGATACTTTCACAGTATGCCTGAGCCTCACTCCAAGCTTGTCTCCTTGCCCAAGGACAGGCCTGGGGCCAGGCAAGGGCCAGAGATGGTTGCTGAGCACATTATTCTACTGCATCAAAAACTTCACCAGCATTAAGACATACAAGCTTCCCTGGAAAATACTCAAATGTCTAAAACTATCATGTCATTTTTCTTTCCTAAGGCGATCAGTGCTGCCATTCCACTATCCATTCCAAAGGCCCATTTATGAAGGGGGAAATTCCATTTCAAATGAGGAAGCTACAGTAACATGATTTCTGTGTGTTTGTAGGTGTGCTCACACAGGTGAGCTAAGCCTTAAATGGCCGGGTGAAAAGGACTCCAAGAGGATCAAATCTTGCTTTTTAAATTTAGTATTTCAATATTATTATTATTCCATCTATCGCCATTTTGTTTTGGGTAATAAAGCAACTTGCCCTCAAACCATTTTGCCAGCAGCAGTCATGAAAGGCAAGGATTTTCTCTTCTCCATTTAAAAATTGTGTTTCTACTATGCGCTGATTTTAATTGTGGTAAGATATACACACCATAAAACATACCAGCTTAACCATTTTAAAAAGTACAATCAGTATTGTTAAGCACATTCACATTGTCATGCAACTGATCTCTTGAACTTTTTTTCTTGCACAACCAAAACTCTGTATTCATTAAACAACAACTCCCCATGTCCCCCAGCCCCTAGAAACCATCATTCCATTTTCTGTCTCTATGAAATTGACTCCTCTAGGTACCACACATAAATGGAACTATGCAGCATTTTTCTTTTTGTTACAGGCTTATTTCACTTAGCACAAGGTCCTCGAGGTTCACCCGTGCTGTATCATATGTCAGGATTTCTTTTCTTTTTAAAGCTGAATAGTATTCTACTTTATATACAGACCACACTGTTTATCCATCCATGCATTGATGGATCCTATGTACATTTTTTTTTAAGATTTTATTTACTTATTTTTAGAGAGAGGGGAAGGGAGGGAAAAAGAAAGAAGAGAGAGAAACATCAATCATTTGCCTCTCGCATGCCACCAACCAGGGACCTAGCCCACAACCCAGGCGTGTTCTCTGACCAGCAACCTTTTGGTTTGAGAGATGACACCAAACCCACTGAGCCACACCAGTCAGAGCCCTATGTACTGTTTTAGAGAAGGGTACAGCATGGTTTGTAGGGATGAAAAGGATTGAGCTTAGTGACATGTACACTCTCTGTGATCCAACATTAAAAAGAAAGTTGCTGAAGACCCAAGTACAAAGCCTGTTATGCCAGAAAGTGGATTGGTAAAAGCGTAGAAATTTTTAAAAATTAGGTGGGATTCCAGACTTTAAATTCGCTTTTCTTAAGAATAGGCCAGACCAGTTCTATTCAAAACATTGGTATCTACTCAAAATATTGGTATCCTAGTCTGTCTCATGGCACAGTCACAAAATTTGACTCTCTTAGAGTTATAAACCATGACTAGTTAGGATTTAAAGAATGGACTTGTTCAGATGACCTCTCTGGATACTTGATTACCTACATAAACTTTATGCAAAGACTCGGGGTGGTAGAAGTGCAACACTGGATTTGGTTTAGTTGGTTACCTCAGAGGCACAGGGGAGCTGGGATGGACACCAGCTTTCTTAGGCCTGAACCTACTGCCCAAGCCCTCACATCACACGGGAAATGGAAGTTAATGGGACACACAGTTCAGTTGTTTCACTTAAGGCCAGAAGAAAAGTAGAAACTGAAACTCAAAAATGTTTACTCCATTTTAGCACTGCCCACTCATTTGCATCCAATCATTAGCTTCTCAAAAGATTCAGTTTTCAGTGTGATCTTTGTTAAAACCACATACTACTGTCATCACCATCAATTATTTACTGAATGTCCTTGAAAAAGCCCATGCAAGGTTTTCAGTCCTCAACTTCATTTTTATTAATTATACCTCTGCCTTTTGGTCACACAGATCTTGCTGGGTCAGAAATACAACCATTCTGTTGACTGGTGGTCCTTTGGTGTTCTCCTCTATGAAATGCTAATTGGTCAGTCACCTTTTCATGGGCAAGATGAAGAAGAGCTCTTCCACTCCATCCGCATGGACAACCCCTTTTACCCACGATGGCTTGAGAAGGAGGCTAAGGACCTTTTAGTGAAGGTAAGAAATGAAGTCAAGGAGACTTCATCAGGTTAGCATTAGGTTTTCTAATCAGTATTGTCATTCACTTCTAAGCTCGGATTTATACACGGTAAAGTAAGCAACAGTTGTATTGAATCAAACGGAAATCTAACCATCTCTGCCTTAACTGAGGCACCAATATGATGAACATATAGTAGCAATAAATCCACATGTGCATGATTTGCAAAAAAAAAACCAGTTTCATAACTCTTGGATGCTCCACTTTGAGATATAACTAGTCCATGGAACAAGCAGAATTTGTAGCTTAAAACTCAACTTTTTGTTTCCCCATAGTCCCTATTAAATCTATTCAGTCCAATTCATCTTCCCCTGCTCCTGGCTGAAAACTTGGACAGGATGCATGACTTTTCTGCTCATTCTTAGGTAAAAGACAAACCACTTGTCACTCTTAAGTCATAATACTCCACCTCAGTTGGTAAATTAAAACTGTTCAGTCCAAGATATAAGTTATCACATCACTATTAACTCTGAAGCGAAGAGTCCTACTCCCTCTCCCTTGGCCAAGTTCATGGCTGGCAGTGCTTGCCTTTGGAGAAGGAAGTGTGGTCATACTATGTGTGTCTTTGTTCTCTTCCTCTCCAGCTCTGGAGTTTCTATTTCAGGCTATACCAGGTTAAAAGCAGGTAGAGGATAGAGGGACAATGAGTAGAAAGAACTGTCCTTATATGGCTGGGTGGCTTCATGCTCTTTCAATTTGGTAGGTTGTTAAAGCCAAGACTTTGCTGTGGCATTTTAGCAGCATTTTTTAAAATCCCTATCACTGGGGACATTTTTGGCTGAAGCCCTTGAGATGCAGGCTACTCGGTGCATTCCCCAGCCCAGCTCTACCCCAGCCCCCACCTCAGCAGCACTCCCTCCCACTGGGACTCTGGCACTCTCACTGCCTGCCACCTGCTAGGCAAAGTCTCTTAGGCAGACGAGCACTCCTGCCACCTCCCCTACCTGTGTCCACTGGAAATATTCATGCATTTTTACCCTAAAACTCCAAGAATGCAGGCCACCACCATCTCAGCAGCAATCTCCAGAATTTACCATCAACACAGGGTTCAGACCTCTGTCTGTGATAGCCCAAGATCAATTAAGAATCAGTGTACAGTGCTACAGATGTAAACTTGGCTCTGAGAATCACTGGCTATGAACCAGGAGCTCCCAGGGCAAACCAATGAGGGGACAGGAGAAGCACTGAAAACCATCATTAAAGACTTGGACGTTAGCCAGAGTCCCAGTTTACCTTTTTGAGGATTCAAGATACCATCTACAGTGTCTGACTGTAACAAGTTGTAAAAACTAAAAATAAATCATGGTAATACAACATGCTAATTCCATGTAATAATAACCACCTACATTTACTGAGCCATCCCGGCAACTCTCCGGATAAGAGAGCCCTTCCAGTGTGAGGCAAACGAATCTAAAAGAAGTGGACCAAGCTCTGCCTGGTATGTCTCAGTGAAGTGAGTGCTGGCCTGTGAACCAAAAGGTCCCAGGTTCAATTCCCAGTCAGGGCACATGCCTGGGTGGCAGACCAGGTCCCCAGTTGGGGATGCGCATGAGGCAGCTGATCGATGTTTCTGTCCTCTTTCTCCCTCCTTTCCCCTCTCTCTAAAAATGAAGAAATAAAACTCTTTTAAAAAAAAGTGGGCCAAGAATATAGATGTTTTGAACCAAAACAGTGTTTTGATTTCTGGCATCTCAGATCCCAGCTAACTAAAAAAATAATAATAATAATCATTTAGGGAAATAATGTTCAGCCTTGCTATTCTCTGTATTGAAAAGGGAAATAAGATAAACTCTTTCAACATTAGAAGCGATCAGTGAATTTTAAATATAAACTTATAAAAAGATTACCGGGCCCATCTTTTTTCACTAAGGCTACTTTTTTTTTCATGAGGAACTGCCGGAAATTAAATTTAAAGGGCAAACACTTCTACCTTTCTCACACAACTGACAGCTTGTCTGGGTTATTGGAAATGGTGGGGCCACTCCAGGGCTCTCCCTGAGGAATCAAGATGTGGAACCTGAAGTGCTGACAAATCCCCCAGAAAACACCCCCTGTCCAAGGTGCTGGTGTTTAAAAGTCTGAGCCAGTTCAACTCAGCTTTCACTTTTTCTGACTGTGATCCAAAGAGCAATAAACCTAGAAAGCTCCCCAAATGATCAATTAAATTTACTCTTAATGACTGAACAAAACACATAAAATGAAAGCTAATTTCAAAATTAACCAATTTTTTAAAAAAGATAATAGTAAAAATAAAAGCGGGATGACAGTGTAAGCAATTTTCTTTACATAAAGGCAAGTTCAAGCATTATTACAGTTGCTACATTTATTTTACACTCAGCTTTTTGGAGCACTTAACATGAGGTATGTTAGTTGGCTTGGCTGCTGTAACAAAATACTATAGACTGGGTGGCTTAAACAACAAAACATGTATTCACTCACAGTTCTGGGGACTGCAAGGACAAGATCAAGGTCCAGAAGCATTGGTCTAGTGAAAGCTTTCTTCCCAGCTTGCAGTCTGCCTTCTAGCTCTGTCCTGAAATTGCAGAGTGCTCTCTGCTCTCTCCTCTTAAAAGAACACTAATCCTACCTGAGTAGGCCCCACCCTTATGATCTCATTTAACTTCAATTATTTCCATATTCTAAGTACTCACACTGGTGGTTAGGGCTTTGACATACACATTTAGAGTGGACACAGTTTAATCCAAAGCAAGGGCCACATTTAAAAGGCCTGAGCGGGGGCGGGACGGAACCACCAGGAAAGGGAACTAAGGAAAAAGCTTGTTGGCTCTCTTGAGACCCTGGAGGTGTATAGAATTGCAATCCACCTTCACCTGCTGATGCTGCATAAAGCTAAACAGCTGTGCTTCCCAAACCCAGCTCCACCTAGGGATCTGGGAGAGCTCTCGGCAAGGAGCGAGGGTGAAGGAGTAACTGGGGCCAAGTGGAGTTGAGCAGAAGTTGAGTCATTGGAAAGATGCTGAGAGCAATGGTTTCAAAGGAGAGAAAGACTAGGTAGGAGGAAAGAATTACTTCCAGTTGGAGGAGAAAAGATGAAAAGTCATGTATATGAAATACTACTCAGCAATAAAAAGGAACAAACTATTATTGATATACAGAATAACTTGGTGGGTCTCAGGGCATTGAGCTGGCTTTATGAGTCCATGTATGTAGCATTCTTGAAAGGATGACACTGTAGAGATGGGAATCAGATTTGTGTTGTCAGGGGTTAGGGATAATGGAAGCAGGGGATTGATTATTAAGGGCTATCCCAAGGGGAATCTTTGGCAGGACAGTTCTGTATCTTGTTTGTTGCAGTGGTCACCCAGTTCAACCCACGTGATAGAATCACATAGAATTAGACATACTGCACCATATTGTGCCAATGCCAATTTCCCAGTCCTGATATTATACTACAATCATGTAAGGTGTAAGCATTAGAGGAAACTAGGTGAAGGGTGCACAGACATCTCTGTGGTATATTTTAACATGCTGCGAACCTACATGTAGAGACTGAATGTGTCCCACAGAATTTATAGGTTAAAGCCCTAATCCTTCAGTATGATGGTTATCAGAGGTAAGGCAGCCTCTGGTAGGTAATTAGGTGTAGATGATGTAATGGGGGTGGGACCTCCAGGATGGTATTAATGCCCTTACAAAAGGTGGAAAAGAGATCTCTTCCTCCAAGTACATGCACCAAGGAATGGCCATGTGATCACACAGCAAGAAGACGGTTGTCTATAAGCCAAGAAGAGCGTCCTTACCAGAAACTGACTATGCTGGTTCCTTGATCTTGAATTTCCAGCCTCCTCAACTGTGAGAAATAAATGTCTGTTGTTTAAGCCACCCAGTCTATGGCATTTTGTTATAGCAGCCCAAGCATACTAAGTCACTATAATTGTTTCAAAATAAAAAATTTAGAAGAAAATGTAAGTCTAAATGCCAGCAAACACCAAAAAAAAAAAAATTTTCTGCAGTTTCAGTGGCAGGAAAAAGATTTGATGCTAGAGTAGAAAATAAATATGTTTAAATAGAGCAGAAACCAAGACAATTAGGGATCAATAAGGGGAGAAAAAGGATTCATTGGTGCAAGAGGTTTTAAATCCATATGGAAGAGTTTGGGCTTAATCTTTACCTCATGACTTAATAAAAATTCCATGTCCTTGCTCCGTTGCGGGGAAAGTAGCTCACCCATATTTTTAGCAACTGGGCTGACAAAAATTATTTTCCATCATGCAATTTTCTGACCATAAGACTGGGTTCTAATTTCATCTGTGCTCATTTTCTCTATAACCTTTATCCAACAGCCCCACATCTTTGAGCTCCTTTTTGCAAAAATCCAAAGCAATATTTCTGAGAAACTTTCCCTAGGGAATTATACCTAATGTTGTGAAACCCAGGTGCAATGGGTCTTCTGGAAAAGCTAAACAAAGCAAGTAGTGGCATCTGTTACAGCACCAGTGTTCAGTATGAGGGGCTCTCTCCCCTCATAGTACATGGATGCATGTAGCACACTGAACAATTTGCCCAGAGGAGAGACTGCACTTCGTCAAGAATTACAGCTGGGACACTGCAGTATGGTTGGCTATTACCAAAGAAGTGCCTCTTTCTTCCCCATTTAGTCATCCAGGATGTCCCGTCCTTTTGTTTGGAAAAATGATGGAAAACTAATGATCTCAAACAGAAATGACTCTCCCTTTTGTAGAAAGATGTATCTGAGAAGGGGATGGAGAGAGAGAAGATTCCAGTGACAGGTGCTAAGCCCTGGGAGCCGTCCTCAGAAGCCCAGCACTGCTTTCTTGCCTAAGCAGTTGAATAAATTTAAACAAACTCCAGCTACATCCTGGTCATTTATGTAAGCAGTGTGCTGTTTCCTATAAATGTAAACCACCCTTCTGACAGCTTTTATGAACAAAACCAAGTCTGTCTTCATGAACATTTATTCCCTCAATGTGAATTCCCTGCCACAGACCCAACGACTGCCTGTGAGGTCACCAGTCATCTTTAGAACCAGGGAGGGGGAGGGGAGGGGGGTGGTTGGCTGCCAGGCAGAAAAGATGATAATTTACCGTTGTGTACAAAACTAGAAAGAATTTTGGGTCTCAAAACTGGATGTCATATTATATTCTCATTATACATTTTATCTTTTAAAATATTTATTTTTTTAAATTTCATGGGTACATGTAACAGTCTCAGAAGGTTCTTTGTCATGATCCTCTTGGTACAAATGCCATGTTACTAGAAAAATCTAATGGAAAACCTAGTATGGTACACACTTGGCCTCCAGCAGTTACTTCTAACTTAATTCACTGAAGCATTTAATTAGCTAGCTTGGGGGGCCTATTCTTGAGGCACTTTCATCTTCTCTCTAGTCTTGTTTCATCAAAATGTCCTTAAGAAGTGGAGTTCAATAATTTATTATGATCATTTCAAGGCAAGAGATATGGGGCAAGTCACTTATTCCCTCTGCTTCTAAAAAATCAATCTGCTTTTCCATCTGGTGACTCATACTGGTGTTTGATTCTACAGAAAAATATGTTTGTGAACTTCGTGCCTTTTGTGTATGCTGATCTATATGCTGAAAACAAGAGGCTAACAGATGAGGACTGAAGACACATAATCTGCAAATACATAAATAGAAAGACAGCTTATTCATTTGTTCAATAACCATTTATTGACCATCTACTTTGTGTGTGGCACTGTGCTAGATTCTCTAAGAAACAGAAACATAAAATGGTGTCTGCCCTCCAAAGCTTACACTCTACTCTAGTAGGAACAGCAGTCATAACTATGTATGTATACATGTGCATGTATACATGTAGCTAACTCCACATTCTATGGAGCGCAGAAGAAGACTATCCAGTACCAGAAGTAGTGATGGGCTGTTTATTATTCAGGCTCTATCACTGGCTGGACCTGTGATCCTGAGCAAGTTTCTTAGCTATTGTGAGCTTTGGTTTCCCCAACTGACAATTGAGATAATATCTGCTTTTAGAATCTGTTTTTAAAATCAGGATGATATAGCTAAGGCATCTATACAATGCCTGGCTCTAATCAACCCAATAACAATGAACATGACTTGAAAAGGAGAGAGAGCTCACTATGAATTGAAGTGATCAAAGAAAGCTTTACAGAGGAGACGGGGAGGACATACTCCTGTTTCTCTTCAGATCATATAAATCTTTCACCTTTTGCAAAGAAGACGGGTTGTAAGCCAAACCATGAAAGGTGGGTCAGGATCTAACAATGAAGAGAATGAAATGGGAGCAGAATGTGGGGAGAGGTATCTTCTTAAAAGGTGGAAGTGTCATTAACAAAGGACAGAGGTAGGGAAGGCAGGTAGCATATTCTACGAGTCGACATGTCTGAACAGCAGAGAGGGTTACAGTGGGAAATGAAGGATGTGTGCCAGCATTTGGCTACAGAGAGCCTGGAACGCCTGCCCAAGTGGCTCAGAGGACTTTAGGATTCACAAGAGTGTAGATCACCTTGCCTCACTCTGCATTTTACAGGTAAGGAAACTGAGATTCAGAAAACTTGGTGGAAGCCATGTGGGTGTAAGCCTCTTAGATGACAGTCTCATGTTATTTCCACTGTGTAGTGGTTTTCCAATGAGATGCTTTGGAACTCCAAGTTTCCACTGAGATGCCCCAGTGGCCATCCTACAGCAAAAGGAGAGGAAGTTAGGACCATGCCCAAGACAAGACCATTTGCATATACTGGGGTGGGTTCATGAAGCGTTTCACTTAGACTTCTAAAAAGATTCTCCTAATTAAAAAAGAAAGAAAGAAGGAGGGAGAGAGAGAGAGAGAGAGAGAGGAAGGAAAGAAAGAAAGAAAGAAAGAAAGAAAGAAAGAAAGAAAGAAAGAAAGAAAGAAAGAAAGAAAGAAAGAGAAAGAAAGAAAGAAAAAGAAAATCTCCATTTTGTTACAGCATGTTGTATTTTATCTTTATTTTTGGCATTTATTACAGCATTTATTTTATCTTTATTTTTATTTTTGGTAAAGTAGAGACTTTGGAGATTTTCAAGTAGTAAGGCAACATAATAAAGCCATGTTTTAAAACACAGACTGGCTATTCTTATAAGAAGTAAAAGCAAGAGATCCCTGCAATTTAGGTGAGAATGGAGGTAAAATTCTGCCAGAACCTCATGAAATCCCTGCATTTCACCATGGGTTCTGTTTAAGACCCACAGCCTCCTTATGATAGCCTCCAACTAGCAGTTGCTTCATAAATAAACATCTAGCTGATGTGAGAAAGAGGGATGACTATTCCAGACACTCAGAGACCCATGACTTTTCTAGGTTTCAAGTTTGGACTCTCTTGTTCCTTAATGCCCTTGACATGTTTTGTTTAACTTTGATGAGTTTCCAGGTTTCTTTCCTGTCCTGGCCAATGTGCGTTTTGACTTCATCGGGGAAAGTAGCAGGAGAGAGGACAGAGAGGAAAATATCTATGTAACAGGTCAGAGATGGCAAAAGATGATTTGAATGATTACTTGTCCTTCAGAATTGCAGGATTCAAGAGTGATTCTCATAATCAGTTGCCTTACCCAGAGCTGACTGTTAGGAACTAGTTTACATTATACCTATATAGTGAGACTGTAATCCTAAGAGGACAGCCTTGTAAGAAAACACACTTGGTTAATGGGCAATCAGCCAAACAATAAAAAATCACTTACTCTATGTTTGTGGGGTTTCACAAACCAGGAATTAGTGCACACATGTGTACATGTCTGTGTGTGTTGTTGTTGTAACTTCATTTAACCCTCAGAATGGCCCTGTGGGAAGGACGCTTCACTCACTTTGCAGGTAAGGAAACTAACTCAGCTGTAACTTGCTAGGGAAAATAACCCAGGGAAAAGCTGATTTCAAACCAGGTGTATACAACTCAAAAAAACAGCATTTCTAGGGAGTAATGAAGCAAAATCTCAGACTCCAGAATATTCAGAAGGCTTGTTTGAAGGAGAGTTTTGCCACCAGTTTGACTTGAGTCAGCAGTTGATAATGGAAAGTAAAAAAAACTAAGGTTAGAAAAGCAAGTGGCAAAAAGCCAGGCCATTATCTTTGTGGAGTCAAATTCATGACACTCACTAAGAAATGCAACCTCCATATAAAGCGAATGGGCTCATCCCTGGAGAAGTGACTGCTCCCTTTCTGATCCTTTTCAGCTCTTTGTGAGGGAACCTGAAAAGAGACTGGGAGTGAGGGGAGATATCCGCCAGCACCCTTTGTTTCGGGAGATCAACTGGGAAGAGCTTGAAAGAAAGGAGATTGACCCACCGTTCAGGCCTAAAGTGGTAAGGAGACACCCAGGGACATTTGCTTCCAGCCATTCTCCTTCTATTCCCACATTGTCTGCTGGTTCTCTTGAGGGTGGGAGGTACCTGACTCTCAGTTATGCTCCTCTATATGTAAGGCTGACTTTTGATAATCTTAGAAAGCTGAATTGTACACCATACTGAACAGAATTTATGAGTGTTTGTTTTTACATCCTCTCTCTTTGCCATGGGCACCAAATGGACCAGGTGGCTTGAGGAGAGTTTGTACCACACTGCATTGTCTTGGAAGACAGTCAAAGATGTTTAATAATAAAATTAACGTGGGTGGGGGAACCAATGGCAGTGAAGGATGTTGATAAAAGAACAGAAGTAGATATAATTTGCAAAACTCCTTCTTTCTGCTCCCGCCCTGTAATGACATCTCCCCCTCCCTGTCCCCACCACCTACCCATTGTTCTCTCTTAACTGAAAAGACCGAGATCGAGTTTGGGCTCACCATTTTTTCAAATGTTGCCAATCCTGCTTCATGTAAATTATTAGCTAGAAACATGAGATCCTATTTGAATGTTTACAGTGGAATTCCATTGTATGAATTTAATTATACTATTGATAAATTGATGAGTAAGGATATTAGAGATGTTCAACAAAAACCACATGTGATCATCTGGAAGTATTTAGTTTATCTGCAAACATCAACTCTGTCATACACAGATCGTAGCCTTGATAACAAAGGTAAAGATAAGTAACTAATTCAGTGGCTGCTTTTCTTCCCTTTTTTACCCCCTTAAACTCCGATCAAGAAATCACCGTATGACTGCAGCAATTTCGACAAGGAATTCTTAAACGAGAAACCCCGGCTGTCGTTCGCCGACAGAGCCCTGATCAACAGTATGGACCAGAACATGTTCAGAAACTTTTCCTTCATTAACCCAGGGATGGAGAAGCTGATATCCTGAACCTCTCCAGACACACGAAGGAATTTGCCTTCTCTCTGTGAACTGGTTTGAGTGACACAACTTGGGTTCCTTTTCGACTTGGAAAAGAAAGAAACACTCAATGATAAAGGCTGACGCCTTTCAGCTCCTCACTGACTGTATCTGTAGCAGAAACCAACTCAATTTCACTAATGATGGCGCCTTTGGTTTCTCTCATCATCTTTCACAGCCACTCTTGAAGTTAGGTCATTACTAACCATAGGTATTTACTTGAAGGATGGTTCTTCGCACTGTGAAAGATTTGAAAACTTATTTGTGCTCTAAATTATGTTCTACACTTGTGATCCAACTGCTGATCAATGAAATATTTGACTAGCAGAGCAAAGTGAAAACAAACTTCTCAAGACTGAAACTGCATGTTCCATGCATGAAAGCCTGGTATAATAATGGATTTCATCCAGCTGTGGACAAGTAACTACTAATCCATTTTATTCTGTGTACATCTGTGGAAGTGTAAATGGTGGGGGGTGGGGGAGGAAGCCCTGAATAGGTTTTTATGGGAATCCTTCATAATAAACATAGCTTGTAACTTGAGATTTATCAATCCATTCATTATGATTAGCCATGTAATTCACAGGAAAGAGGGAAATGGCGAGTGGAAAGAGCTCCTGTCACTGATATGGAAGGTTTTAAAAGAGTGCCTATTCTGTGGACCTTGTCAACATAGATGTTAAATTTACAGTCCAGCAAAGGTAGAGTGAATCATGGTACTCCTGCCAATAAACCTTTCCATCCATCCATTCTCAGTTGATTACATACAGGACAGTGGCAGCCACTCATTGCCATCCTCACATTTATGTTAACAAGAAAAGAAATTAAGTGTATAATTCTTCTACAGGGAAAGAAAAAACAGTTCCTGTACCCTTACTGGTGAATCTATCTATGACTCAGAAGTCTCCCTTTAGGCATCACTCAAGATAAAAGACCCATGCATGCTAGTTGTAGCAGTCAATCTTGTTTAATTAGAATTGTAGTTATACATTCTTAAGTATCTGTGCTGTTTGTATATTTTGATAAAGTGTTGTGACTTAATGACAAAGAGGTGGATATGTAAACATGGAATAAAAGAATGAAAAAAGGATGCATCTTAATAGTTTAATTCCCTACTTGTCCCCCCAAAAACTTGGTTCTGTCATGGTTTTCAAAATGTGGCTAGGACTGAGTTGATGTTTTAAATTTTAGAAATCAATAAAAATCCCAAAGTGGGTAAGAAACTCAGACAACCCTTAAGTCATTGGTATTTTGTTCCTCTTTCCCTTCACCACAGCATTTCTTTAGGGGTAATCAATACACATTGCCTCTACTTCTCCCATACCCGAATTCAGCTCTGCCTTCCAGCCTCTCTCTCCTGCCACTGCTTCCTTGAAGAGTTACCTTCTTGCCAGGCCTTGTGGAATGTCCTAAGTCCTTGTCTACCTTTCTACAGCTTTTTATACCAGGGAAGACCCTCTCTTTGATCTCAGCTCCTTGAACCCTCTGACCCAGCACCTTCGTCTTTCATCCCTGTCACCTTTGATTACCCCCTTAACAGGCTCCTTTTTCTCCTTCCCCAAGTCACTTCCAAAACCCCTGCCCCTCCTTGCTTTCACTTGCCCTTGGTTCTCTCCTTCCACCTCTTGTCTTAAGGCCCACTCAATCCAGTGCATCTCAAATCTGCACCTCCAGTTCTCACCTCTCTGCCAGGCTTCCAACAGGCTCCATGAACTGTTCTGTGTTCTTACAATCTTTATCTCTTGTGTATTTCCTATTTCTGTTAATGACACCATTGTAGGCCCTGTCATCCAGGCTCAGAATCTCAGTCATCATTGACTAGGAGACTATCCCCCCTCTCATTTTTTTTTTTAACAAAATCATTATGATTCTGCTTCTGCAATCTCTGCAAAATACATACTCACCTCTAGTTTCCTGCTAATCATGCCTGGATCAATCTTTCCATCTTAAGTCTCTCTCTCCATTTTAATTAAGGTATACAAGCTATATTATAAACTTCTAAGTGAAAATAACTTTTCCTCTACCCTCTTATATCAAGCACCTGTGGGCCCGCAAATTAAACTGACAAAAGACAGATCAGCAAGGGAAGAGTGATTTTATTTACACATGTGGTGCACATGCACATGGGAGTGCACAGTGGTGAGTCACTCAGAGGACTGGGTAGAATTGGGGGCTAAAATACCTAACTTAGCATGAAAAAGGGAAAGGAGAGAAAAGGCTTCTGTGAGAAGAACAAATAGGTTTCTTGAGGAAAGACAAATGAGTTTCAGGAGAACAAACAGGAGATAACGTTTGCAATGATGTGAATGATCCTTGTCTTCTTTGGGGCCATAAAACTCCCCCCAGAGACAGGATTCACAGGAAGTAGGTTTACTCTGGGTCTCACTCCTGGAAACAGACCCGTCCCAAAGAAGGAATTTATGGTGCTCCTCATTTCTCTGAAGGTTTTGCTTTTAGTCAGATAAGAAAAGCTCCAAGAAGGCCTCTTTTGCATCTGTTGAATCTTAAATGTCTTTATTTTAAAATAATCTTTATTATTTTAATATAAAAATATTATGTTCACAAATAAAAGGTTTTATTCCATCATACTGACGTTCAAATCCCTGTGTCATCTTCACTGGCTAAAACCCATTAAACGCCACCCGTTCTGTCCCTGACGACCCCTCTACCTTTACCTCTCATTTCTCCCTTTCACTCACCTGCGCTCCAAACAATCTGAATTCCCTAGCATTGCCTATCCACACCTATTGTTTCCCACCTCCAGGCCTCCCCGATGCTAGTTTTTCTGCCCCAAATGCCCCTTCACCTCATGTTCAATGTGTTCCTGTCTCTCAGATCCAGTTCAATGGATGGGCCTGCCTTATCCCCCCTCCTCACTGTTCCCCATCCCCCGCTGGTTTATCTGTCTCTCACTTCTCCAAGCTCCCATCATACTGTATTTCTCTGTGCTTCTCTCGCAGCACCCACCATTGTCGATCAAGCTATAAAAGGGTATGCTTTGCCATCTCTCCAGGCCGTATACCCCTGAGGGCAGGATCTCTGCCCAGTTCATCTTCATACTTCCCATAATTCCTTTGTATATTAGTGCTCAAAAGAGGTTTTGGGAAATGAGTCAATAAATGAATGCCCTGCGTAGTGTTTGAACGGCGGCCCCTCACAAGATACATCTACTTGGCACCTGTGAATGTGGCCTTATTTGGAAAAATAATCTGTGCAAATGTCATCAAGTTAGAGTTGATCCCTAAGATAGCCGGAATAAAAACAACTGTAATACTCTATGTAAAGGCACATTCTTGTGCTTTTTTCTAAAACATTATAATAAGAGATCAGAACAACATTCAGTCAGCCTATTAGACTATTTTTTTGCCCTCCAATCAGAAAATTACTCAACAAATAAGTACTATGTACCTATTATGTACTAGAAGTACCTGGCTTGTCTTCAGGATCCCCCAAAGAACTTTGTAAATTTTCCTCTCTCCTCCCTAGTCCATCTAAAATGTGTGCTACTCAAAACACCAGCCAGAGTTTGGTAACTGCAATTGACAGAAACATAATTTTTATCCATGTATTTTTCTCCTGCAGACTAAAAACTTTTTTCTTAAGTGGCGACAGTGTTCCTAGAACAGGTCCCTGAAGCCAGCTTTGGGGTTAATCTTGCAGTCTTCTTCTGGACGGCACCCTTTGCTCTGAGTTCTAAATAAGGCTGATGCACTTCTACTATCTTCAAGGCAAGATCCTGGATTCATCTGTAGTCAGAATCAGCTGTTCTTGTCTTACTGTTCCGGGGAGGGTGACAACCTCCCACACTACTGCAAAAACTGCACACTTGGGGCTTGGCCTTCAGGAGATAGTAAGCAAACCAATGGGCTATGGAGAGCACAGAAAAGTATATTAGAGCCAGATTTCCAGTGCTGCAAATATTTGGTTAAAGAGCTTGAATGTCATTCCATAGGCACCGTAGAGCCACTAAAATTATGCCAACAAAGCATAACAAAATCCTCAAAGCTTAAGCACCAGAGGCATAAATGAAAATATATATATGTGTATATAAAAGAGTTTCCTGCTAACCTAGAAGTGAATTTTCTGTAGTGAAGATCCACTCAGAGTTTCCTTCATATAGAATTGTTCATCCGAGGAGGACATCAGCAACAAGGCATCACATCATACCCGATAGCGTGGCTAGTATCAAAAAGTCAAGAAATAAGTGTTGGCGAGGAGGATATAAAGAAAAGGAAACCCTATGCACTTGTTGGTGGGAATATAAACTGGTACAGCTATTATGGAAACCAGTATGGAGGTTCCTCAAAAAATTAAAAAATAGAGCTACCATATAATCCAACAACCCCATTTCTGGGTACTTATCCAAAGAAATAGAAAGCACTAATTCAAAATGATATATACATTCCTATGCTCAGTGCAGCATTAATTCACAATGGTTTAGATATAGAAACAACCTAACTGCCCATAAATGGATAAACAGATAAAGTATAGTATGTATATACATACATATAATGGAATATTATTCTCCCGAATAAAAGGAAATTCTACCATGTGCAACAACATGGATAAATCTGGACATTATGCTAAGTGAAATAAGCCAAAGAATGACAAGTACTGCATGATCTCATTTACACATGGAATCTAAAATAATCACTCTCCTAGAAGCAGACAGTAGAATGGTCATTGCCAGGGGCTTAGAGGAAAAGGAAATGGGAAGATACTGGTCAAAGGGTGCAAAGCTGCACTTATGCAAAATAAATAAGTTCTGGGGATCTAATGTACAGCATGGTGACTACAATGAACAATACTGTATTTTATTCTTGGAATTTGAAGAGAGTAGATTTTAAGTGTTCTCACCACAAAAGAAAAAGATAAGTATCTGAGGGAATGGATTCATTAATTAGTTTGATTGTGGTGAAAATCTCACAGTGTATACATAGATCAAAACATCAAGTTGTACTCCTTACATATATACAATTTTTAAATTATACCTCAATAAAGCTGGAGCATTTTTAATTAAAAAAATGAAAATATGAATATAATAAGGTAAATAATCCTTACATATTAAACTCACCATGTACACATTTCACAAGGCTGCTTATTTTGTGAGTTTCTATTTAATGAATAAAGGAGCACATAACATCTCCTAAGTCCTTTGCACCAGGAGTTCCCTAAGGTGTCAATGCCAGAAAGGTTGATTCAGCTTTTACAGAGGGAAGAGTCTAAGAAGAAAAGCATTGGTCAAGAAGATGGAGTGACAGAGTAGCTGAGCCAAATTAAAGTTCAGGCACTTGGCTCCCCCTGTCCCCTGGCCTCCCCCTCCCCATGCTTGAGCTGAGGCCCTGTGGTCCAGGCAAACTATTCACAAAGAGCTTCCTGCTGTTCCTTGATGGGAAGGCCACAGTGGCCGGACCTCTGCATGAGGAGAGTCCAGAAACCTATCTGCCCCTACAGAGGCCCCCACTTCCACCGCTAGGGGAAAAGAAAGTACCCGCTTCTCCCAGAACAAAGATAAGTGACTGCCCCACGTAATTCCCCCCAGGTTGGCCAATCAGCCAAAAGGGGACCTCCCACTAGTTTTCAACATTTTCATGTACTTGTTACACTGATTTTTAGGATGGACTTGAGGCCAGTTTTATTTTTGGTCAACACAGTGTTCTTGGCCTTTTCAGGAAAGCTGAGGTTTCTCCTGAAGTGGGAAAGTGGTAAGACCTTAAAACCTCTAATCTCATGCTCACAAACTCAATCTCCAGGTCACAATCCCACGATTTCTTTTAAAGGAAGCTCTGCTTTTTCCTGACATCCACATTTTATGTTACTGTAAATCTTACCCACCTTCCCTTCAGACACATGGGGGAACTCTGAGGATAAATTTGTGTCTATGCTGGTTTTGTTCACTCATGTCACAGCTTTTGTGACAAAAGCATATTTAAAACATTCATATATACTTATAGAGTCTACTTATAGCTGTGTAAGATGGTCTTATTTTTAAAATGGGAAAGTATTTTGTTAATTTTATGCAGATTCTAATTTCCAGAGGTGAAACTCATCTAGCTTTGATCACTGGGCCTCACTTCCTTCTCTTGATCTTTATCTCTTCCCAGAAAGGAGACATCAAGGCAGGTGGCCATGGTCTCCTAAAATAATAAAAGTAATGCCTCATCAAATTTCAGAATTGTAGGACACTCAACTATACAAGTCCATCTGTTTGTATTTGGAAGAAATAGAAGCT